TCCGAACCCTCGGGCGGGAGCGCTGCCGCGCTTCTCAAGCGGCGCACTTATCCAGTGCGCCACCGGGCCGGCCCTATCCACAGCTTTTTGAGTCTTAGATTTTTAAAAATATATCATGTGATTTCTTCTTGTTAAAGCAGGAGTGAATGTTGTTTATGTCCTTCTATATCTGCCTGGAAGTGTTAATTATTTCGTTCAAAACAGTTTGTAATTTTCATTTTAGTTTCTTTTTTGACCTATGGATACATATATTTTAAAATTTCCCAACACGGGGATTTTCTAGGTAATTTTGTTACTGATTTCAAGCTCAACTGGATGGTAGTCAGTGAACATACTCTCCATGGTTTCAGTTCTTTGACCTTTGTGAGATTTACTTTATAACTCCCTATATGGTCAAATTCTGTGAGTGCTCTGCATGTTTGAAAAGAATATATATTTTGAGATGTTAAGTATAGTATTATACGTAATGGGTATATATATGAATTAGGTCAAGTGTTTTAAACATATTCAAATATTTTATAGCTTCTACTGATTTTTAATATTTTTTAAAATAGCTATTAAGTTGTTGCTTTGAAGATAATTTGTCTTTTTAAGAGCTGCTCTTTGTTTCTCTGCAGTTTAAATATGATGAGTCTAGTTGTAGACTTTTTATTTGCTTTTATTGTGGTTCTTAGGGTCTCTTAAATATGGGGATAGCATCTTTATTCATTTTTGGAGAATCTTAGTCATGATCTCCTAAATATTGTGATGTTTCATACCCTTTATTTTGATAATATTGGGTGATACTGACAGATTTGTTGATATACAACAATTGAGCTATTCCCAGAATATGATTTAATCATGGTGTATTATTTTGATGTCTTCTGGATACTTCTTGTTACTATTTTATTCAGAATTTTTGCATATATTTCAAAAATAAGAGATGTCAATATTTTTCTGGAACCACATCAGATTTTTGGTTTTAAAATTAGGCTGGATTTATAAATTAAATGAGGAGCTTTCTATAATATTTTTAATGGGTGAAATAATGAGGGAAGGGACTTTGTCTTGTTCATTGCTTTGTGCCCAGAACCTATGTTAGGAGGTAGCAGAGATTAGAAATTCAGTATTTGTTGAATGTTGAAATAGCACAAGCATCGTTTGATCTTTAAAGGTTAGCAAGAACATAAGGAAAACCATTCTGTCCTGGTGCCTTTTAAAGTAGAAAATAAAGGTTAAATTGCCTTTCCAATCTCTTTGGTAAAATTAGATCTAGTTGGATTCACACCTGTGCTTCCTCCCCAGGTTATGTCTGCACTAGCTCACTCTTCGGATGTTCATGGGTTAGTACAGGGATTCTAGAAAATGATTCCTCCAGGATTAGAGATAGATACAAATTGTCCAACATAGTGCCTGGCACATAGCAGGTACTCAACAAATCAACTGCTTTTTTTCCCATAAGAGAAAGTAGAAAGTGCAGCAGATCTGATGTCAGACAGACTATGGTTTGGGTCCCTGCTGCACCACCCACTAGCTGAGTAACCCCAGACAAGTGATTTCACCTCCGTATCTCCCTTCCCTAATCTGGAAACAGAGATAAGAGCGCTTAGCTCTTCTGGTGGTTGTGGAAAAAAAAAAAAGAAAAGAAATTAGGATTACTTCTTCTTTGGTAAACTTTATTAATATACATTAGTAGGGAAATCTTCCATCTACACTTAAACATCATTGCTGAGGTGTTACACATATTAAATAAATATTTTCCACATCTGTGATTATATTTTCTTTCTCATTCTTAATCATTATTGCTTTCCGTTTCTCTGTCTCTTGAGAGGCTTATCTATTTTACTGGTCCTTTTGAAGAAATTTTTGGAATATATTTATTGTTTGCATTATTTAATTAATTTAAACTTTTATCTTAATGACATAATCATCTGTTTGTTTAGGTTTATTTTCATTGTTCCTTTTATAATTTATAAAGATGAGAATTAAGTGTCTTTTAGTTGTTGCTGTTTTTCTTGCCTTAAAGTGGAATCATTTAGGACTACAGTTTTTTTGTCTGATAGGGGCTGTGATGTATAGGTTTTGATATGAAATCTTCAAATTTTCATCTATTTCTACACCCGTATATATTTTCCATTATTCTAGTCCAGTGCAATCACAAAGTATATAGGCTTCTGTGTTTGTCTTCTTTTATTTAACCTAAGTTTGTCGAGATTTGTGCATACTGTTGTGCTTATCAGTAGTACACTCCTTTCCTTTCTATTGCTGACTAGTATTTCATTCTTTGAATATACCACAATTCACCTCTTAATAATTGACATTTGGATAGTCTATAAACATTCATTTATAAATCTTTCTGAGAACATCTTTTTATTTCTTTTGAATAAAATCTAGCAGTGGAATTGGTAGGTCATATGGTTTACCTTTAGAAGAAAACTACCAGTTATCCAATGTGGTGGATACACTTTACCCGCTCATCAGCAATTTATAAAATTTAAATCCTCTGTATCCTTGATTACTTTTCGTATTGTCAGCCTTTTCAATCTTAGTCACTCTACTGAATTTAAGTGTGTGTTTCCTTGATGACTAATGATGTGTAGCACCTCGTCAGGGATTTATTTGGCCATCCATATATCTTTCTCTGTAATGTGTCCTTTTGAATCTATTGTCCATTTTAGAGTTGGTCATCTTTATATCACTAATGTGTAATGTGTTCGTGTGTATTTTGCATGAAAATCCTTTAGAAGATATATGTATTGAGAATATTTTCTCCCAGTCTGTGCCTTAGCTTTTCGTTTTCTTAATGGTGTCTTTTGAAGAGCAAGTTTTTAATTTTGATGAAGTCTACTGTTAAGTGTTTTCTATGTCCCAAGAAATCTTTTCCTACTCCAAAGTCATAAAGATTTCCTCCTGTATTCTAGAAGTTTTATAGTTTTAGTTTCTGCAACCAGGTATATGATCTGTTGTAAGTTAATTTTGTGTTGGTAGAGGGTTCAGTTTCCTTTTTTCCAGATGAAACAGTTGTATCATTTCCCCCCCATGAATAACCTGACAGTTTTTCAAACATCAGCTGACTACTTCCTCAAAAAATTAAAAATGGAATTACCACATGATCCTACAATTCCACTTCTGGGTATACATTCAAAAGAACTGAAAGCAGCGTCTTGAAGAGGTATTTGCACACCCGTGTTCATAGCAGCATTATCCACAATAGCTAAAATGTGGGAGCAACCTAAGTG